TCAGGTGCGGCGTGACATCGAAGCGAAGGCCGCAGTCCTCAGGGATGATGGACGGAGAGTCATGGGGATGAACCGGGTTCAGGTGAGTCGGAGAATTGGTTTGAAGTCGAATCGATCCTCCATTCGGAATGGATTCATTGACTGACAGTAAAACAAAAACTTCATCCCACGTGCCGCATCTCTTATGAATAAACCAGCAGAAGTCCCCCAACTCGTCTGTAGAGAGTCAATAGAGATATGAATGTTAATAAATGCATGTGGCTCGTCCACAGCAGCACGTTTATTTACTACGCTCAGTCTTGCTATACTTAATTATTATTATTTTTTATTTTTTTATTGTCTTATCTCTTTATTGTTAGTGTTATATTTCATTTTATTATATGTATGTCTGCACTCAGGGCCGGTTCTAGCTATTTGAAGGCCCTAGAAAAAAATTCATGTTGGAGGCCCCCACCCCCAATAAAAAGCACTTGAAACAAATATGATTCCTAACCTTTTTATTTATACAACATTTATTTAAAATGTGTATATTTTTACTTGTATAGTACCGTTCAAAAGTTTGGGCACATTACTAGTTGTAATGTTTTTGAAAGTCGCTTATGATCATCAAGTCTGCATTTTTTTATCCGAAATACAGAAACTATAATAAACTATAATATTGTGAAACTTTTTTTTTTAATAAAAAAAATTCAATAATGTTTTTTTATTTTTATCATACTTTAAAATATCTATTTATGTGAGTCACAGCTGAATTGTCAGCATCAATTTAACACATCCTTATGAATAAAAGTATTAATTTATTTTTTTAAAATACTGACCCATTGTATTGCAAACATTTCAACGTTATTGTTACAAAATATTTCTATTTAAAGGGTTAGTTCACCCAAAAATGAAAATTAGCCCATAAATTACTCACCCTCAATTCATCCCAGGTGTATATGGCTTTCTTCTTTCAGACGAATCCAGTCAGAGTTATATTAAAAATTGTCTTTGATCTTTCAAACTGTTTCATGGCACTCAGCGGGTGTTGCATGCTTCAGTCCAAAATAAGTTAAATAAAAAGCGCCCATCCATTAATAAAAAGTGTCTCACACGGCTCTGGGGGGTGAACAAAGGCCTTCTAGGCTATTTTTGTACAACCTACATTTATTTAATTTTTTTTCTCTCTGCGACACTTTTTCCTATTGTGTTGTAAATGTTAAACAAATTGTATCCTGACAAGACGAATACAAATGAGAAATACAATTTTTGTACAACATTTTTATTTTCTCTGACACTTTTTTCTGTTGCATAACATTTTTAAGATGAATTTTGTGTCTTAAGATAATTCATATAAATTCAAGACTCTTGACAAGACAATAAAATAACATACAATTTTGTGCAGACTGCACTTTTATTTGTTAACCTCTCTCTTTCTTTCAGTAGCGGAAATTTAATAGTGAGATTCTGGAAACGAGATCTAAATTTAGCGGGAACGTTCGGGTCGGGAAGGAAATTATTCCAAGCGGACAGCGGGTGAACAACGAGTGAATATATAGCGGGAGCGGAATATAACCTTGCGGGAGCGGGACTAAAAAAATAGTCCCGCGCAGACCTCTAGTCAGCTCCCGGTGCGATGTCATTTATTTACTGTATGCGCAAATTCAAAGCGTAGTGTCTGGGCGCGTCAACAGCGCTGGCGCTTTTTTAAACACGCAATAAAGCGTGAATGATCTGTCCAGAAATGACGCTGGTCGATAGAACAAGTTTATATTTAGAATACATTACAATCACTCCAAAATAAATGTCGACGCCTTACACACCAGCAATAGGAGCTGTAGACTTTGCATGCCTATTTAGCCTTTGGCTTCAGCACCTGAATGAATGGATGCGTTCGTTACGGCAAATATTTAGAAGACGGACCCGCTTTGAAACGGCAACATTAATTGGTTCAATTGCAGGTGCGTGACAATTTAACAATATCCAATGAACAATGAGGTTATTATTTTGCTGCCCTCTTGACTAGTGGACTGGCATACAGGGGGTGTTATGGAGGCCCCTCCTCAAAGTCCGAGGCCCTAGGCCTGCTCTGCCTATAGCTAGCGCCGGTGTTCTGACAAATAATGCTACCTATCAGATTATGCTACCAACACTGTATTTATCCTACTGTAAGTGTAGGTGTACATGTTAATAAAGCCTCACACCTTATTAATATCATGCTGGAAGCAAAATCTGATAGGTAGCACTTTTCGCTATTGAATTATGCTACCATCTGTTTTAATGGGAGGTAGCAAAATGTGACAGGGTAGCACAAATCGTCAGAACACCGGCCCTGTCTGCACTATGTCTGTACTTTTTCTTTGCACTTGAAGCTCCTGTCACCAAGACAAATAAAGCCCTTTCTGATTCTGATTCTATGACTATGCAAACATGTACAAAATAGTGGGAAGACTAGTGTAATATATGTGTGTGTATGATTGTTGTTGACTGATGAGGTCATGATTACTGAACTAAAATACCATATGTGACCCTGGAGCACAAAACCAGTCATAAGGGTCAATTTTTCGAAATTGAGGTTTATACATCATCCCCAGCGACTTAAGACTGCTTTTGTGCTCCAGGGACACATATAATTGAATGAATGAATGAATTAATGAATGAATGAATGAATTAATTGATTGATTAATGATGCATTTATATAGCGCTTTATTGTGTATTGTTGTACACCCAAAGCGCTTAACATTCATGTGGGGGGGGGTCTCTCCTCAACCACCACCAGGTATAATTTGCATATAGTGTATAAACTGCACAAGATTTTTGCACTTTTCTGTACACAGAGCTGTCTGTCTTTTCATTCTTACTAGACAAAAGACCCTGAAAAGAGTCTCATTCATTTTAGAATGATTGTTTAAGACATTTAACACACATTAGAAAGGAAACGGCTCTTACCGGGATGTGAGTCTTTGAAGCGGACCGTGCGTTTTTGCTGTCTGTCTACAATCTGTCTGTAAGAGAGCACCGTACAGGTTAACACACACTCAGATGGCATCTCAGCGTCCTTGGACATTTCAGTAACAATCTCGTCCTTGTCCAAACACTCCCAGCTGTTCCCCTGAGCAAACACACAGAATATGAGAGAAAGCAGCGCTACCCAGCGCAGCCAGGAAGATCCCACACTCGCCATGTTGTTTGAGGACAGGATGAGTCATCCACTGCAGAGCGTTCCTGCGTTTGTTTGCTTGTCTTCTCTCTTTAGTGTTCAAGGTCAGATGGCCCGCAGGTCTGTAGAGTCCATCTGAACTGAGGGGCCAGGGGCCTTCAGGACACCGAAGCCAGACAGAGGATCTGTCAAGGGCCTGGACTCTTTTACTGAGTGCGCAACAGCCACACACTCGCACACACACACACACACACACACACACACACACACACACACACACACACACACACACA